GAGGAGGAGGAGGAGGAGGAGGAGGAGGAGGACGACGATGACGACAACGACAATGACTGTGGTATTCTCTAAGATGGCTTATCTTATTGTAGACATTTCATGAGCCAGCTAGGTAACGTCATCAGTGCTAGAAGGGAGTGGGGTTTGTGGAGAGGAGGAGGAGGAGGAAGAGGAGGAGGAGCAGGAGTAGGAGCAGGAGCAGGAGAATGACTATGGTATTCTCTAAGATGGCTTATCTTATTGTAGACATTTCATGAGCCAGCTAGGTAACGTCATCAGTGCTAGAAGGGAGTGGGGTTTGTGGAGAGGAGGAGGAGGAGGAAGAGGAGGAGGAGCAGGAGTAGGAGCAGGAGCAGGAGAATGACTATGGTATTCTCTAAGCTGACTTATCTTATTGTAGACATTTCATGACCCAGCTAGGTAACGTCATCAGTGCCAGTGCATTGAAGGAGGCTCCCCTGGGGGCTCAGCCTCCTACCAGCTGAGTGACATCCGCCCCAGAACTGAGACACAGTCCTTTGGGGCTCGAAATCCCCTGTGGCTCTATGCATGTCCAGCAGGGGGCAGCGGTACCCAAGGCTGGAGATAAAAGCCCAGCACACCAGCGTGCGGCCCATTCGCTCCAGCAGAGGGCAGCAGCGGGACCTCGCCAACGCCACCGGGTGGCATCGCACGCCAATGGGGGCGCACACGCTCCCCACCTACCCCCCACTCCCCGCTCCTCACCTTCTCCCAGTAGAGGCGCAGCTGGCTCAGCCACTCGAAGGACGTCACATCGACCAAGCCGCTCTTGTACAGCTTCTCTATGACGTCCCGGGCGTGGACCTCCACCGTCACCAGCGCCACGATCTTCAAGCGCATGATTTTGGTCAGGCTGCCCCGGATGGCCTCCGAGTATTTGTTGAGCATGGAGACCTGATCCCCGCCCACACGAAACAACACAAAACATATTTCAGTTAGCGGTTCCGAGGCCTGGGTAGAGCTTCCAAATCCAGCTGCAGTCTACCTTAACAATTCTTTCATGGGGTTGTAGAGGGAAACCGGCTTACGGGGTGATACTGTATACCCCACCCAACCCTCGCTGGCGAGAAGGAAACGCTAGATCCTGCAAAGGCCTATAGTCTGGGGGTAGATACAGGGAGTCCTCGACTTACGACCTGCTGTGTAGCACGACATTTCTGTTGCTAAGTGAGACAGTTGCTGAGTGACGTCGCGCCCCGTTTGACCACTTTTCTTCCCACGGTTGTTAAGGGAATCGCTGCGGTCGATATGTGAGTCACGCGGTTGTTAAGTGAATCGGGCTCCCTACTGTTCACTTTGCTTGGGGGAAGGTTTGGCAACTGACTCATATGTATGATGGTCGCAGTCCGTCATAAATGATCGCAAAAGTCAAGGAGAAATCCAGATTCACTTAGCAACCGTAGCCAGAAAGGTCGTAAAATGGGAAAAGATTCCTTTAACAACGGTCTGACTTAGCAATAGAAATTCTGGGCCCGAAATTGTATTATATTGTATTATAAGTTGCGCTCGACTTACGACCACAGTTCAACCCAAAATGTCCATTGCTAAGCAGGACAGTTGTTAAGTGACGCCAGCCCCATTTTACCACTTTTCTTGCCCCCGTTGTTAAGTGAATTGCTGCAATCTATAAGTGAGTCACACGGTTGTTAAGTGAATCCGTCTCCCTCAGGGACTTGGCTTGTCGGAAGGTCGCCAAAGAGGGTCGCGTTACCCTGGGGGGAATGCTGCAGCTGTCATAAATATGAGTCGCTTGCCAAGCGTCCGAATTGTGACCGCGTGACCCTTGGGAATGCTGCCACGGTCGTAAGTGTGAAAACGGTCGTAAGCCACTTTTTTCCAGTGCCGTCATAGTTTTGAACGGTCATTACATCACCTTCGTTTAACAACCCCATAACGACCCCATAATCCCTTGTGTGGGTGGAGTTTTGGGCAACTGAATGGAGCTGAATGTTTTATTGGCCGGATGCTATCCCTGTCACCAGTATGGAGTTTTATTCGGCAGATATATTCTCATTCTGCCCATAGAGGGAAAAATATCCACCTCTACCGAGGATCGAACCCACCGCCTCCTGATGGTGAGGTGAGAGCTCCGCCCCTGGGCACACCCCTCTGAACGGTCGCTAAATAAACCATTGTAAATCGAGGACTTCCTGTCCTGTCAGGGTGGGCTCTGCGCTCGGGACTGCGGGGGGGAGAACCTCACCTGCTTCTTTTTCATCGCTTTGAGATACTTCTTATCACCTCGTTCCTTACAGGTGGCCAAGCACTTGCTCACGTCAGTCGTCCACTGGATCTGGCTCGCGGTGATCACCATCTGGCGGAAGTTGCCAAGTGGGGGGGGGGAAATCGGCTCACGGATGCTCATTTGGGGAGGGGGGAAGAAGGCAGGAGACCCACCACCCCATTCCTCAGCTGGATCTGGGGTGCCGAGGGAAGGGGGCAGAAGGAAACGACCCCCCGCTTGGACGTCTCTGCTCAACGTCAACATTTCAAGGACTCAAGGGGAACGTCCAGCGAAGTGGGGTTCACGGGAGACTCCGGTTACAGCTGTGGGGTGGGGGAGAGTCCACCCCATAAAGATCCCTCCCTCCCTTCATCTTCCTCTTTTGGCCCACGATCATCCTACAGGCAGGATAGGGACCTAAACACCAGAGTGGGCTGCAACACGGAAGAAGACCAGCACGTCCCACCAAGAAAAGATGGGGTACCCGACCATATCGGGGCTCGCCATCTGCTCGGCATCTGCCAGGATACCCCAGAGACTCCATGTGACCTCTTGGCCCAGCTCTGCGTCCTCACCTGTCCCGGCCATTCCTTCACCCATTTGTCCCTCTTGGTCAACATCTTCTTCAAGGCCAGCCGGCAGTTGCGTAGCACTTCCCTCAACGTCCAGCGCATGGCCCTCTCCACGTCGCACAGCCAGTCCTGGGACACATATGATGCTCGGTCACAACGGAGGAGTCTCCCAGGACTACCCCCGCCACTCCACCCTTATGGGACAGTCCGGTGGAGAAGCAGGGAACTCCCATGGACTGGCACCGCCAACCCAGTAAGAGGCATGATCTGGGTAGCCAGAAAGTCATGGGGATGACGGACAGAAGACCAAGAAAGGGATTCCAGGGCACCACCTTGAGCTCCAAGCAAGCTCTCATCCAGCAAGGACGAGCAGACCAGAGAGAGAGAACGTGATGGGCCACAGGTCTACATGGTGTTTGACGCCAGGTGGCATCTTCAACACCTTCGCAATTATCAAATGATCCCATGCTGAAGCCAAGGAGAAGCTGCTCACCTCCACGGGTCCTTCCAGCAGAACAGGGTGGGTGAAGTCTACGTATTCCCCATCCAGAGAGAACATGCCGACGGCTTCGGACCGTTGAGTGGTCCCAATCTGAGCGGGGAAAGGAGAAGCAGTTGTCTCCACCGGTGTCCTATCATCTCCTGACCTTTGGGTTTGCTCACCAAAAGTGCCAAGCCCAAGCAGAATTCTGACTACCAATCACCCACAGCGTGACGTGGAAAGGAAAAGGAGGAGCCACCATCGTTATCATCATCGTTGGAGTTGGAAGGGACCTTGGAGGTCTTCTACTTAGTCCAACCCCCTTGTTCAACCAGGAGACCAGGCTGTCCTCATTTACTTCAATGCCTCTAGTGATGGAGCACCCACAACTTCTGGTGGCAAGGAGAATTGTCCTCACTGTCAGGACGTTTCTCCTAGTTTGTTCTAGACCCAAGAACGTCTTAGTTCTTCGGTCTAGAACCTCTTAGAAACCAAAGAGATCCGGACAGGAGACCGCGGTCTTCCGTTGAGTCGCACCTTCTGAATTTTGAGGCACTTAATGTTGTCAAAGCACTTCTTGAGGTGGGGCTGGACGGCCTCCGGGTTACGGGACTGGCCCAAGATCTCCAGGAGGTCATCGTTGGAGAGGAAGTAGAAACGGGGAAAGATATGACGCTTGGTCTCCAAGTACATGTCAAGGGACTTCTGGATGTCTTCTAAGGCGTTGTTCATTTCAACCAGTTTGTCCAGGAGTCCTGCGGGGAGGAGAAGCACAGAAGAGCCCTAAGCGTCTCCTTGGTCCTGGCCAAGGAACCTGCTCCCCTCAGAGGTCTCAGAATCCCCAAGGCCTCCTACGACCTTCTTCCCATCTCCAGAGAACCTAGGAAAGTTGGCCACAAAGCAGACTGGGCTTCTTCCCCTGAGGTCCACCGTGACAGAAACGAGGAGCAAGCCACCTGGGTAATGAGTAGCCCGAAGAGCATTGTTGTCCTTCACAAAGCGGTCCATGATGGTCTTCCAGCTGCTGTTGATGTTGTCGAAGGATGACGATTCCCCGGGCAGCTGCTTGCGGATGTCTTCCCCCAAGAAGATGTTCTGGAGATGAAGGAGAGACGAGACACATCTGGATTTGTAAACCACGAGGCCCTTTCGTGGGAAGGGTTAAGGCGGGTTGGTCTTGCTTCCCCTTTCAATATTGCTCATCGCCACAACAGTGGTCTACTACCCCACCAAAGGGCCGACGGAGGGAAGGAGGACCTCACCTCCAGGTACATCCACTGCCGCTGGACGGTCAGTAACATCTCGATCACCTCCAGGATGAGCGAGAGGCAGCGTTCCCACCGGTCCACGTCCTTCTCGAACGGCTTCACAAAACGGGACGCCTTCATGGTGGACAGGGCCACCTGATTGTCATCCAGAGCCTGGAAGACCTCCTCCGTTCCTCTGAAGAAAGAGAGACTTTCTGAGCGCAGGACCTCAAAGAAGACCAAGGAGCAGAGGACTCCTGAGTCAGAAGATCTGGACCACTGCTCTCCCTGCCCTAGACCCCCGTTATGGACTTCACCCAAGTTCGGTCAGATAAAGATATATTACGCAATTCTACATTCCCCCTTTCCACTCCCGAGATTCTGGAACTCGCTTGGATCTCAGAAGGCATTTTAATGAGGATACTAGAGCTTGAACCTCCCTTGAACCAAATTCGGAGAGGACCAAGGACACCAGAGAAGGGTTCACCCAGTAGATTGTGAAGTCCGGGCAGGAGACAAGACAGCCTTTAGCTACCTTATCTCAGTCCGAACCTATTGAACCTTGGATGATGGTAATCCCACCGCATGGAATTCCTTCCAGAAGCCAACATGGCCACTGTAGCTTCTGTGGACAGAAGAACCCCAGTTCTACACTCAGTTCTGGGTACAGAAGACCCCCAGTTCTACACTCAGTTCTGGGAACAGAAGACCCCCAGTTCTACACTCAGTTCTAGGGACAGAAGACCCCCAGTTCTACACTCAGTTCTGGAGACAGAAGACCCCCAGTTCTACACTCAGTTCTGGAGACAG